GAGGTAGGATTGCCTCCTCAAAAAGGCCCGTGTGAAAACGTCCTATGTCTAGTCTGTAACAGTTTTTCTACTCCATCAGGAAACACTCTTACTTGAAGCATTGTGGATCCAGATTCATTTGGGTGCATATTTAAAGGAAAGGTGCAACAATAACAATTCAAGAAAAAATGGAACAATATAGCATGTAAGCCTTTTTATAGTATTATAAACAAAGACTGGTATGGAGGTGGTGAGACTAGCTGATCTAGCAATTTTACTAGAGTCTTAGAACGCAGGAGGAGGAGGCAGATATACCAATTAAATGCTTTTGGATCATTCCACGACTGTCTCTAGGATTCTTTGGATGAAGCAACAAACAATGGCTGACATCCCATTATTGCTGGATATTTGTTTGTTTGTTTATTCAAGGCATTTCTTTGTCACTTCTTGGCCCACTATAACCCCTGAAGTAATGAATATAAAATCCATCTGTTACCTTGATCTGCCTCCTACTTTCAGTGAAATATGCAGTAAGACTTCAGTGGAAATTATTCACCAATTATAGATCAGGTTTGGAATTCTATACATAGATCAGGTGTGGGGAAAATGCAACACCAGGATCATATGTGGACCTCCACGCCTGGTTTTGTGGCCGTCAAGCCACTGCCCTTTTTTGGGCTGAAAGAAGATGGCTCTTGGAAACTATCAGGAGTTTCAATTCATCTTTTACATAGGTTGAAGTGCCCCCCCCCCGCAATAATGGTTAACATAAAATAATTGTTATTGTGTGCTTTCAAGTGATTTCCAACTGATGGTGACCCTAACTTATCACAGGGTTTTCTTGGTAAGATTTGTTCAGACTGAGTTTGCCTATGCCTTCCTCTGGGGCTGAGCAAGGGTGACTTGCCTAAGGTCATCCACTGAGTTTCCATGGCCAAGCAGGGATTTGAACCCTGGTCTCCAGAATCATAGTTCAACGTTCAAACTACTACACTACACTGGCTCTCTAACATAAAACAATACCTGTTCCTCTAAACTAGTATTGGCCAGTTCTGGGAGGAGTTGTACGCAATCTTTTAAAAACATTTTTGACAATTTATGTAGCCCATAGAGAGCCAGCCTGGTGTAATGGTTTGAGCATTGGATTACAACTCTGGCGACAGGTTTGAATCTCTACTTGGCAATGGAAATCCACTGGGTGATCTTGGGAAAGTCACACCTTCCCAGCCTCAGGGAAAGGCAATGGCAAGCCCTCTCTGAACAAATCTTGCCAAGAAAATCCCACGATAGGATTGCCTTAGGGTAGGCATATGTCAGAAACAACTTGAAGGCACACAACAACAACTGCATCCCTCAGAGGATTCCACCAACAAAAAATTCCCCTCCCAACCCACCAGGTATGTGTGTGGGCATATAAACTATGAGGCAACAGTAAAATGAGTGCATTGTTTCCCCAATAAGAATTATGCCCCCCTCAATTAAATTTTTCCTCAGTTTTCCTTCTAGTAATGCAATAACTTAAAAATTCAGTTGAGCATTTAGGGACACTGTTTAGGCATCCAAAGAAAAGGAGCAAACAAAATTACTAAGGGAAATAGAAATGTTCTAGGTGTGAACGATTTTCAATATCTGCAATTCTAGGAATTTGGAGGATGGAGAAAAACAATCATCTTGGGGGACAGAATAATTATTTAGAGGGGCACTGGCCTCATTTTGTCCTCCAGCCGTGTGCCCATCATTGATATAGATGTCTTGTCATTCTTTGTTCATAGTGGCCATGTGCAGAAATATTTGTTTCCTTCCAAGTCACATTTCCTCGTCACTGTGCACTTGATCTGAACGTAACAGACTTTTCCCCTAGTTGGGTCCAGTTAGAAGCAACACATGAGATCTCAATCCCAAGATGAAATCTTTTCACTTGAGTCAGTTTAGTAAGGACATAACCTTTAACTCTGTTAAATTTTATTCAGTTTAATGTTTAACACATAGTTTCAAGACTTATTCATGGATCAACATTGGTAAAAATAAAAATTTAAAAAATAAAAAGTGAAATAAATAGGTTAGCATAGCAAGCAAAAACTAACTTCACAAGAAGAAAGATAATTGTTTCCCAGAATAATAATATTAATAAATTGAGTTATATTTTAGAACAAGTGAAGATTTAATGACAACTGTTGATAAAAGGGTTACTTTAAACTGAAAATATGAGTTGGCAAAGTAAATGGATGAGAGTGCAAGAAGTATTGCTCATTATTAAGGGAGCTATTTCTAACCTCAACACTGGGCAATGGAAAACATTTGGCTTTTCCATAGTTTTTTTTTTAAATCTCCCCTTTTTATTTTTTAATTTTTTATTGGGAATTAATAAAAAATAGAGAAGAATCCATCATATGATGGGTAATTTTGGAAAGACCTCAGGAGGTAACCCAAAATCTCTGTGCATGTTGCATACAACATGATCTACAGCTCCCCATGGAATAGTGGAAGCTAAGGTTACACTGAAGGAAGTTCCAGTAACAACAGTTACTGAATCCATGGCAGGGAATCCAAGCAAGTGAGCCATGCAAAACATACGGGTCAGACCACATGCATAGATATGGTCAAGGAAATAGGCATGTAGGAAACCCACTCCATCAAGGCGATTAAAAGGAAGAAAACAGCACACGCTGAAATAGTATATCAAGGTATACAGGGGGGAAAGGAAGGAGAGATACTGGATTGCAAAGAAAGTATATTTTTGTGTTGCAAATGGATGTTAAATTTCCTGAACCTTGAGAATCTCCCAGTAAACACATGGCCAAAAGGAGGAGGTGCCAGCCTGCAAGAGATACCCCCATATCACCTGAACAAAACCAGCAAAATGCAGGCCAATGACTAACATCTTCATTTTTTTTTCTCTTGTATGGTTTGTAACACCTTGCCTAATTAAGAAGCCAGTGAAGCTTCGAAAACTTGCAACATGTATATTGTGCATTTTGGCTTGCCCAAATAAAGGTATAACTGTTTGGAGGATTTTTTCACGTTATTGGATTTACAGAAAACATAAGTACAGTAATTCCTATCAATGTCAGTCTCTCAACGTGTCCCCTTCCCAGATATAGACTGGACAGAGGTCACCAAGAGCCAAATTGAGAGTCAGGGATGCACGGAGAGAGGTAGAAGTAGGTGGAAAGTGGGCCTCTCAGACCAGTCTATCACAGCACACTGTCTGCAATGCATTGAATAAAACTCTTCTATGACTGCTAGTTGTTTAGCTGGCAAAGAACCAACCCAAGACATTTTGCTGCCTGAAATAATTAACAAGATTGTACTTCCTTCCATGCCATATACAAAAGTTGACTGGACTGGAACTGATTCTCCACAATACCGGAAGGATGAGCAGGGCAGGCTATAATGGCACACCACATTTTCCTCCAACCTCTTGCTAACACTTACTAGCACCTACCTACGGAGGTGACTGCTTCGCTTTGACAAGTAGCAGAGTATGCCCAGGATGAGCACAGTATTTGGTGGACATGTGAATGGGCTTGTGGCTCCTGGTCCAAGTTGCAAGTCACAATGCAGGCTTGAACCAATCCTTTATGTTCTGTTCGTTTTTTTCTGTGGCAGTGTCATTCTGCTAACTTCTATGAGTAGTGGTGACTCAAGGAGCAAGCAAACCATGCTCCTCCCTGCTGCCAGAGATCAGGACAACCAGGATGGAAGTTCAGGAGATAAACAGCCATTCATGGCAACCATTCCTATTCCACATGCTTAAATTGACTGGTATAGGACCCACCTAAGCCAGCATGGTGTAATTGTTTGAGTGTTGGACTACAACTCTGGAGAGCAGGGTTCAAATTCCTGCTCAGCCATGGAAATTTACTGGGTGACCTTGGGTAAGTCACATGCTCTCAGCCTCTGGAAAGGCAATGGCAAACCTCCTCTCAACAAATCTTGGCAAGAAAACATCATGATAGGTTCATCATATGTTGGAAACAACATGAAGGCACACAACAACAACAACAACAACAACAACAACTGCAGCCCCCGGAGGATTCCACCAACAAAAAAAATCCTCCTCCAGACCCACCAGATGTGCATGCAGGTATATAAGCTATGGGGCAGCACTAAAATGAGAGCACTGTTTCCCCAATAAAAATTCTGCCCCTCTCAATTAAATGTCCATAAGTCAGAAACAACTTGAAAGCAAACAATATGACCTACACAGCTGTCTCTAGGACCTTCCCCTGGTCAGTATGCTTGTATAAATAATGTACAGAAACACATACTTTTTAAATGGAGGGGGGGACTGTACAGGGCAAGAATTGGGTGCTCTCCTCTCATTTACAAAGTGATTCTTTAAGTTGAACTTTTAAACCTGAATCTGTCTCAGTTTTTTCAAAACAACAAACTAAGGAGCAAAACAGGCAGGTAAAAATGGGTTGAAGCTGCCTTTTCTGAAGCCACATTGAAACCCCACCAACCACACTGCCAGTTCCCAAGGTGGCTGAAGTGTGCACATCATGATCACACAGCATGGCTTCAAGCCACCCCACTGGGTACTTTTTTTTTTTACTGTCTCCACCATCATCCCTGCGCCCCTTCGCAGGAGTGCACTGCTAGCAAATGCCATCCCATTGCATCGCCATCCCTGTGAACCTGCACCCATTCACATGTGCAGCGCTTCACCAGGACAGGTCATTGGTGCAGAGGTGTGTCCATGCAGATGCCAGCAAGGTACAATCATACCTCCCTTCATCCCCCTTCACCCTATGCCCCCTCTTGGACTGTCGATTTTTTGTATGTTGTACTTATCTCCATGAGAGATTCCATGGTTTCTCTTTTGGGCACTGCCATCCCCACTACTTAATAATAATAATAATAAAATTTATTTGTAT